AATTAGGGAAACACAGCATAGAAAGAGAGAGCGAGGGGGGAGTGAGGGAGGGCAAAAAGGAAGGAGGGAGGGAGGGAGGGAGGAAGGAGCTACCTCAGAATCAATCTAATGGAAGAAGTAAAAGAACACTACATTGAAAACTATAGTACTCTGAAAAAGAGATCAAAGAGGATATCAGAAAATGGGAAGATATGCCATGTTCGTGAATAGGAAGAACAGATACAGTGAAAATGGCCATATTTTCAAAATTGTTATACAAATTTAATGCAATCCTAATCAAATACCAATAGTATACCACATAGAATTAGAGAAAACAATCCTAAAATTCACTTGGAACCAGAAGAGACCTAGAAAGCAGTCAGGCTCAGGTTGCTGTGGTTCCATCCCTACAACTCAAACCTGCCTTGAAGGCATTCGGAGCAAAAAAAAAAAAAGAGAGAGAGACCTAGAATACCAAAAACAATTCTGGGAAACAAAGTTAAGGCAGGGAGCATCACAATCCCTCACTTGAAATTATATTACAAAGCTACTGTGATAAAAAAAAAAAAAAAAAAAAAAAAAAAAAATGGGTCCGGGAAAAAAAAAAAAAAAAAAAAAGGCAGGGGGCCTGCCCCTTAACTCAGCTCTTTAAGTGGCTGCTTCAACAAAGCAGTCAGGCTCAGGTTGCTGTGGTTCAATCCCCGTAACTCAAGCCAGCCAAACCTGCCCTGAAGGCATTCAGAGCAAAAAAAGAAAAACAGAAAGCAGACCCAAGGATCAATGGAATAGATTAAAAGATACAGAAACAAGTCCAGACACACTGAGCCACCATATCTTTGACAAAGGGGCCAAAAGCATTCACTAGAAGAAAGATACCCACTTTAATAGCTGGTGCTGAAAAAACTTGCTTCCCACATGGAAGGTTAGACCCATATCTCTCACCATGCACTAAACTAAAATCAATGGATCAAAGACTTAAACATCAAAATAGAAGCACTAAATCTGCTGGGAAATGGAGTAAGCAGGACTCTTGGAGACCTTGGTACAGGCAAAGACTTTATGAACAAAACTTCAATTACATAGGAAGCATCAATGAATCAACAACTGGGACCTCATCTTGTTAAAAAGCTTTTGCACAGCAAAACAAAACTACCAACAAAGGAAAAAGATAATCCAGCTACTCCTCAGACTGAGGATACTACTTAGAATGTAAAGAATTTTAAAAAGCAGTCCTACTATATTTAAAGACCCAATCCAAAATTTGGCAACTAAAATGTATAGATCTTCTCAGAAGAAGAAGCAGAAACTATAAATAAATGTACCCAAAAAAGTTCAACATCACTGGTCATTTGAGCGATACAAATCAAAACAACACTGAGACACCATTTCACTCCAAAGAGAATTTGACTGAGCTTTTTCATCTTCTTGGTATCTTCCCAAAAGAATTAGAAGCATTATATCTCAGCAATATATGAATATCCAAGTTTTTAGTGGCAGTTTGTAATAGCTAAATCTTGCAAACAGCTCAAATGCCAATCAACCAATGAATGGAGATATATATATTAATCTATCATAAAGAAGGCTAAGCTTGAGACACGTATGAGTAAATGGGTGCAATGTGAAACCATACTCTTAATGAAATAAATCAGGCACACATTTTTAAATAGTGCACTGTTTTTCTGTAAGCAACTGAAAGTGTAAATGTGGACCAAAATGTATAACAGATATTGGGAAATGGGAAGAAAATGTTCAAATGGGAAAGGGAACAAGAGAGGAGGGGGAAAGAACTAAACAAACAAGGAAAAAAGAGTACAAGGAAAAATGGAAACAAAGATTTCATAAATAAAAAGGAGTTGCTGGAAGGGGAGGAGAATGGAAAAAAATAATGTATATCATGTAAAGGTAACTATATGAGTATTATCATTACATATATCAAAAACATACCAATAACATTTTTACAACTGACTCTGAAGTCCATTCCCTTCTTAATGTAGTGTTCTAAAATTATACACATGGTATGTATTAAGTGTATATATCTGTATATATGATTTGTTTGCATACATACAGAAAGATAAATGACAGGAGAAAATAACAAAGAAGAAAAAGAACATAATCTTATACCAATGAGGTAAAAAAAATTAACAAATGAATGAAAAAATATTTTCCTAGGATAGAAATAGACCATTATGATTTGAGTCACTTACCTTGGCCTCCACAAAGATGACATTTTTTAATGAAATATCCTCCTAGCCTCTAACATTTTGCAATTGGCCCACTTTCTATTTTGTTCAGTGAGGTTTTTAAACCCCCTTCTCATAAATTAATGAACCAGTATTTACTCATTATGGACAAGAAATGGTCTTGAGCTAACCAGAAAGGACATGATTTCTAATTGGACTACCTGTTTCTTTTGGTTACTACATGTACTTTTGGTTACTACACGAATCCATTTACTTATTCCTTGTCTTGACATGTCATTAATCATTATTAATCATGTCTCATGTATAGTCTCTTTTAATAAGCATATAAGGGCTTAATGCTAAGTGTCACATCTGTTTAATTCATGAATACCTACAAGATGGTTCTCAAAATGTGGTCCATCATCTATAATATTAAGGCTATTTGCATAAAACTACTAATTTGTTATCTACCTTTTTTTTTTTTTTTTTTTCTAAACCGGGGATTGAACTCAGGCCCTTGCGCTTGCCCAGCAAGTGCTTATTCCACTGAGCCATCTCCCCGGCCTTGTTACTTACCTTTTCCACTCTTATTTTCTCACATGTTATAGTAGTATTTTCCAGAGGCTACATCATATCAACAAACTGAATACAAAAGCAGGGTGTGCCATCAATCTTAGTAAGCCAGACACTGCAGATGCTATGGTTTGTGTCTAGCTGTCCCTCCAAAGCCTCATACAGTCATGGGGCAGCTTCTAGAGTTTGACTGATTCATGGTCCAATGCTGGGATTATGGGTGTGAGTTCTACACCCACCCTGGGGCAGGTATCCTGCATACACTATTAGGGAGAGAAAGAGGTTTGCTCCCTCCTGCTTTTCCCTTTTGCTTTTTTTGCTTTTGTCATTTTCTGCTGCTATGAATGGTTGCCCTCTGTCATACCACCCAGCCTTGGAGCCAGCCAAGTATGGACTGAAACCTACACAAACTGTGAGCTAAAAAAACCTTTCCTTCTTTAATTTTGGCTATTGGATATTTTGTCTCAGCAATGAGAGGAAAGTAACTAACACATCAGAGACCTGAAAAATTTAAAACAATGGCACCTTTTATTTTGTGGTTCAGAAGTGCACGTTTATTCAATGTGCAAGCACTTAAAAAGAGTTTATAATTCTGTTCATGTCCCAGTCATGACAGACTGACAACACTGGCAGACTGAAAGTTCTCTCAGTAACTTTAGTCTTTATAATAGATAAATAAATAAAACAGGTCAACATAATGCTTTTAAAAAAAATGCTACTCTTTTTCACTAAATTGTTTGATTTTGGTAAAGTTATTCTGCTATAAAATATTTTATTCATGATAATGTGTCATGGGCTTATTGTCACTTTAAATGAGTTGGCAGATTTATTTACTTATTTATTTATTTAGCTACAGGGTCTCACTAAGCAGTTCAGACTCATAGTGATCCTCTTGTTTTCAGCCTGCCCAGCAGCTGGGATTATAGGCGTGTGCCACCATGCCCAGAGTCCATCAGAGGCTCAGCGTGCCCCAGGGGCAGGGCTGGCACTGCATGTGGTACTAGGGATCGAACCCCAGTCCCCGCACTTGCTTAAGCAGGCGCTTAGTCCACTGCACTATCTCACTGGCCCTGAGCTCGTAGATATTTTTGAATTTTCCATTTTGATTTTTTTTAATGTTCTATTTGTTTTGTTTTCTTGAGACAGGATCTTGCTACATAGCCAGGCTAACTGAACTCACCATTGTCCTGCCTCTGCCCAAGAACTGGAATTAAAGACAGGTACCACACCTGTTCATGTTTTAATTTCTAACAATTTTTTAAAATATTGTTTCTATCCTTCAGTTTTTGTTCAAGTTATTATCATTTTCATCTTATAATCAATTTTAAAAATAATTATCAAGGCTTAAAAGACAAGAATGTCTCAAGTTACTAAAGCATGTATTATTTCAGAGTATAATAGAGTTAGAGTAACATAAAATATGACAGCCAATCATGTTTCCATGCACTTACACGAGGCAGAGTTTACAAACAAGAAGGAATTCATATTTTACTTAATAAAAATTCCAAGAACAATTAAAAACTATGCTTCATGTCTAAACACTAATACAATTATTGCATACGAAAAAAATAACAGAAAATAATCTGTATACTTAGAAAACAATAAATATAATTCATTCACCAATTTTTTTCTTTTTTGTGGTACCAGGGACTGAACTCAGGACCCCACACTTGCCAGACAAGCGCTTATTCTACTGAGCTATCTCCCCAGACCCAACAATTTGTAATTGTTTCTCAGTTTCTTTTCTTTCAGTGCTGGGACAAAATACCCAACACCCAACATTACCAAAGGAAAGGTTATTTAGCTCAGTTTGTGGAGGTTTCAGCCCATACTCAGCTGGCTCCCAGGCAGGGTGGCACGCGGCAGAGGACAGCACTTCATGGCGGTGAAAAACAGCAAAACAGCAAGAGCAAAAAGGCAGGAGCAGCAGCGGCAGCTGAGGCAGAGAGCATGCCTGGGCTCCCCCTTTCTCACACTGCACCCGGGTATCCACCCCAGGGTGGGCGTAGCACTCACACCCGTAACTCCAGCATTAAGATCATGAATTAATCATAAACTCTGGAAGCCCACAACCCCACCACTGCATGAGGCTTTGGGGGAACAACTAGATACAAACCATAACAGTGTGGTACCTACTCTGCCAGATTCTGTCCTGTTGTTTTGCAACTATGGGTGAACTACTTACCTTTCTGGGCCTTAGCCTCTCTGTAGAAATACAGTTTGTTTGTTTGTTTGTTTGTTTTTTTGGGGGGGCTGCTTTTTTTTTAAAATCTAAAAAGTAAAGATTATAACAAAACCAACTTCAAAGAGTCAGCACAAGGATTAAGTGATATAATGCTCATGAATAGTCTAGCTATTAGCTGTTATTACAATATTCATGTCAGGTAAGATGTTATTAATGAAAGAATTAGTAACTTTAAAAACTACACAGATTCTAAGTAAAAGACAATGTAGTATTTCAAAAATTATCAGAGTCAACAGGCTTAATAAATACTCATTTTCCTGGGAAATGTGACTTAAAATTGCTCTGCTTGGTTTCATTTTGCAAAGTCTTAAGTCAAGGATAGAGTCTAGAAATCAAGCGTGGCAAAAACATGGGACATGGTAAGATGTCAGGACCCTTGTACAGTAGGGTTACTTGTGAGCTAGCACACAGTGAGAGATCGGCTCCTTCAAGCAGGGCACCCTGCTGGCTAATTCACTTAGATAATGCCTCAGTTGCAATGTAGGGGTCCGGCGGCAGCCCGCAGGTAGGGTGGCTCGGATCTTCGCTCTTCCATCACCAGCGATCGCTCTGTGTAAGCCAAGATGGGCGTGTACAAGTGCATCCAGGAGCTGCGGAGGAAGAAGCAGGCCGACGTGCTGCGCTTTCCGCTGCTGTCCGCTACTGGCAGTATCGCAGCTCTCAGGGTTCCACAGGGCTCCTCGCCCCACAAAGCTCGCAGACTGGGATACAAGGCCAAGCAAGTGCATGTCATACGCAGGATTCGTGTGCACCGCGGTGGCCGCGAACGTCCCGTTCCTAAGGGAGCCACTGACGGCAAGCCTGTGGCGTTAACCAGCTGAAGCTCTCGCGAAGCCTTCGTCTGTTGCTGAGGAGCGAGCTGGACGCCGCTTTGGGGCTCTGAGAGTTGTTGATTCTTACTGGGTTGGTGAAGATTCCACATACAGATTCTTTGAAGTTATCCTTATTGATCCATTCCACAAAGCCCTGAGAAGAAATCCTGACACCCTGGGGATCACCAAACCGGTCCACAAGAACAGGGAGATGCGTGGGCTGACATCTGCAGGCCGCAAGAGTCGTGGCCTCGGAAAGGGCCACAAGTTCCACCACACCATTGGTGGTTCTCGCCTTGTAGCTTGGAGAAGGCACAATACTCTCCAGCTCCACCGCTACCGCTAATAATATACGCGATGTTTGTAAAATTCATAACCCAATAAAGAATTTAGGATAGTTTTTTAAAAATACAATGTAGGTGCTTAAACATCCTCAAATGAACATTATTTCCCTAATTCATCATTTCTAATGTTTATAGCATATTCCAGTTTAGAGCGTCCAACCTGTGTTCCACCTTTATTTGTTTTTATGCTCTTTTTGAGTGAAGTGAACTTTTCTTGGCCCACAAGTAAGGTATATAATATAAAGTATGTAAGTAATAAAACCTTTCTATTTTAAAATATTTTTCTTAGGGCCAGGGAGATGGCTCAGTAGAATAAGCACTTGCCTGGCAAGCCCAAAGGCCAGAGTTCAATCCCCAGTTCTGGAAAAAAAAAATTCTTATGACATTTTAAAAAATAGGAAAAAGGCAGGCTGCAGGTTGGACATTCCCAAAGCTACATAATTTTCTCTCTCTCTCTTTTTTTTTTTTTTTTTTTGTTTCTCTTTGTATGTATTCAGTACAGTGTCTCGAGGGTCTCACTACACAGACTGAACGCATATTAATCCTCCTGTTTACAGCCTCCCAAGCACTGGGATTACAGGCATGCACCACCACACCCCATCTCAATCACAGATGGCACTCTGGGGATCAAACCCTAGTGTCTGCATCTGCCTAAGCAGGTGCTTTAATCTGCTGAGCTATCTGGCTGGCCCTCCTAAAGCTATACAGACAAATATATCCACTAAATTTATCTTCAAGACTATAATTTCTAGTACTGTCCAGTTATTAAACACATAATGAGAAAATGCATACTAAATCTGAATGTTTACCATGAAAGTCAATGAGCTACATCTTATTTTCATAAAAAATTACAAAGGAAATCTACTTACCAGTATGTCTACAATAGGTTTTATGATGTGAATTTAAAATAATATCTGCTATAATGAGTAATCTTACAGTTCAAGTCCAGAATTTGACTACTATAAAAAACAAAATAGACTATTTCACTTACCTGAAGTAAAGTCCTTAAACTGCTGCATGTACTCCATGGCCTCATGAATCTGACCTTGTTTACACAGGCAAAGAAGAGCTTTCTTATGCATGCCACATTTGCTGTAAATAATCTGAGCTAAAGCCAAGCACTTGGCCTTGTTAAAAGTATCGTGCTCCCCATAATCAATAATCACATCCCCAGCCTCCTCAGAAAATGTTATCCTAGAGCAAGCAGATCAATAAGGCTCACATTAGAGAACTCTTGATAAGTGGCTAAAATTAAATATTTGAAAATTCAACAAAGGAGGACTGATTTTTCTATAGCCTATAAGAATTCCAAGTCAATATGTAATGATATAGGAGAAGTTAAATACATCTAAGATTTAACAACAAAAATAATCAGCATATACTCCTTTGGGGGAAAATATTTTGGTGAAACTAAGGCCAAGTTGTTTTTTGTTTTTTTTTTTTTAATTTATAAAGAAGATTAAAACTTCTTGAAATGACTGGTAAGATTTAAAATTACAAGGTAAATAAAAATTATCTTGGGCCAGCAAGATAGCTCAGAGGACTAAGTGCCTGCTCTGGCAAGTGCAGGGACCAGGGTTCGATCCTGTCCCACATGCTGCCCCTGCCCCAGGGGCGTGTTGAGCCTGCAACGCAGTCTGAGTGTGGTGGCGCACCCCTGTAATCCCTGCACTGGGAAGGCTGCAAATAGGAGGAGCACCATGAGTCTGATCTGCGTAGTGAGACCCTGTAACAAATATACAAATGAAAAAAAAAATTATCCTGTGAGGGTCTTGATGTTCTTGAAATTATATAGAGTATACTGAGGTTCTAAAATCTGCAGAATGTAAAAATGTATTAAATGTTGGCTAAAGACAGTGAGAACAATTTTACCCCATAATTAATGATAGATTTTACATGTAGTTATACTAAAAAGAAGACAAAGTATGGTAGCACTGTTATTTTTAAAGTTTTGTTACAGACTTATAAGAAGCAACATGAGGAAAGGCTGTAATTGTACTTATTAAGACAGACTGAAAGAAGTAGTTCATTTAAGATAGCTTGTTTGAACAGATTTCATTTGTCACCAACTTTTAAGGCCCCAGTGCCGGGAATGGAACTCAACAGGCTCATGAACCCTAGGCAGGTGTTCCGTAACTGAGCTACATTGGCCCCATTTGTCACCATAGTTTAATCCTCCATCTTCATGCACAACTGAAGCAAACCATCTGTACTATCACAGTAACTCTACCTAGAATCTACCAGCATGAGCCAAAAGAACAGTTGGATGAGACTAAAAATTTCACTCCTCATTATTAGTTAGATGGAAATTGTGCTTTAGTTGTATTTTAATTAATGGCTACAAAAATAACACTGGTGTCTGTATCCAATGAACAAACTGCTGATAACACTAAAATGAAATCCTGAAATTGCTACAAAATGTTTACTGAAAATTTAGAAAATAAAGCTTTCTGTATTTACTGTGGTGGGCAGCACAAAAATAGGCCTAAAACAAGAATACAACTTGAGCACAAATCAATGACTTGTTAAGTAATTCCTTGATTTCCAACTTAAATACTAAGACACAGGTTTCAGTACACATAGTCACAACACTCCCTGAAAAGGGACAAGTAAATTAGAATCAACATAGTGGCTGCTATACCAGGAGAGATGAATAATTCCAGTATTTTAGGAATAACACCATTGCATTTTACTACACTATAAACATTTAGTACATTGTGCCCAGTGTATGTTAGCACTAATACCATTATTAATATCTCTTATTAGTACTATTTTTAATTAACCTCTTACTACTACCATTATTTTATTTTTCAAGTGGTCACCACTATGATGCTGCTCCATCTGTAACCCCAAAGGGCTGGAGAATGGGCGTAAGAACTCCACCTGGTCCTCCACTCCCACACCCCTCATCACACTGTTTTCCTAAAGTTCTCTTGTGCGCTCTAACATCCCAGCTACCAATTCTATGAGGCTTTCAGGAACTTCTAAAAGTGGACCTGAGAACAAATGGGACCAGATCATATTAAAAAGCTTCTACACAGCAAAAGAAACAACCAATAGAATAGAGACAGCCTACTGAAGGGGGAAAACTTCTGCCAGCTATTCCTCAGACAACTTGTATCTAGACCATAAAAAGACTTCATAAAAATCACAGCCCATAAAGTAAAAGATGCAATCAAAAGATGGGCAACCTAAATGAATAGACATTTCTAATAAGTACAAATGATCAATAAGTACATGGAAAAATGTTCAACACTGTTGGCAATTAAAACAACCCTGAGATACCATCTTACTCCAGAAAGAATGGGTTTTATAAAGAAATGAAATAATAGATGCTGGTGAGGCTGAAGGGATAGAGAAACCCTTCTACACTGTTTCTGGTAATGTAAAATGGTGCAACCATATGAAAGTCAATACGGAGATTCCTGTAACAACTAACACTAGAAATTCCATCTGACCCAGCCATTCCCCTTGAGTCAGATTACAGTGATCCATGCATACCCATATATGTAGCCACACAACTCATAACAGCTAAATCTTGAAAGTAGCCTATATGTCCATCAACAGATGATGGATAAAGAAAGTGTTTATATACAATGGAGTACTATTTTCCCATAAAGAAAAATAGATTTGAGTTCCTGCAGGAAAATGGAAGCCCTTGAGACTATGTTAAGTGAACTAAATCAAAGTTAAATACCACAAGATTTCTTTTACATGAGAAACCCAAAATATAAATAAAGAGCAAAATAAAAGATAAAGGGAAGTAGGAAAATATATTTTGTTCAACTGGTAAAGCAATCAAGAGATGGAAGGGGGAACAAGAGGAAGGAAAGGGGATTTTTTTAAAGATGTGTTACGTGCATGTACCAACTGCTAAAAGTAAGGTAATCGTTATGTAATGCAAGCATGAATTAATAAAAACTGAAAAAATAAAGTTTTTTTAAAAAGCCCATAGAACTGTATACCTTACACATGTATATCATATAAATTATATCTCAATAAAATTATAAAAACTAAGTTACAGATCTAGGACCAAATGTAACAGAAGATCCAATTTGTCCCACCAACCCTTCTTGCAATGAGAACCCAGTCGAGACCAGATCAAGAGTTGATTCACAACAATTCACAAAACAGTTTCCCCAAGAATTATGATCACAGAATCCTGGAGAAGTTGTGCCTGGATGGAGTGAACTTAATATGTAAGACAAACAGAACTATGTTGTGCAAATGATTGGCTGGCCTAGATGCCACCTAAACGCCCCACCTAAACCTTCCACACGGGGCCACCGTCCCCTTTACAGCTGCTCTGGGTGCTGGTTGCAGGTGGTTCATAGGTGCCTCTCTCTGCAGCATGCTGTTCTTGGTTGATGGAAGCTGCTGTGCCCCCTGTGTGTTCCCCCCTCCTCTAGGCAGCCCACAGTTAATGGGCTTGACAGTCTTAATAAAGAAATATAAAAGGCCAGTGCCTGTAGCAAGGGAGAACAGCTCTGTAGCATGGTTTATGCGCCAGAGCCATAAATTAGGCCAAGTAGACTTTGTCTGAGGCCACAATGTCACTTCCCTATTCTGCATCACTCAATCCTTCATAGGTATTTCCTGAGAAGCCCTCCTTCTATCAATTCTGTGCACTCAAATTCCTGTCTCCAAGAAGCCACCTCCTAGAGCTGGGATATAGTTCAGCAGCGCAGTACTTGCCTGGCGAAAGTAAGGTCCTGAGTTCAATTCCTGGTACCAAAAAAAAAAAAAAAAAAAAAAAAAAAAAAAAAGCAGCAGCCACCTCCTGCTATCCTTGTATGTTCTTCCAGCTGATACATCACCTGGGGTCACATATCCCTGTCAGTGTGGAACCTGGTTCCTGCCTTTCCCTCCCAAGCAGTGCGATACTGATGACCCTTCTCCATCCTTATTGTCTACCTTCCATCTACCATGAAATCATCAAGAAGCATTCTGTGAATGACTGTAAATCAATTCTTTCTTTCAGGGGCAGGGCCTGGGCCTCAGGACCTTGCCCTTGCCGGGCAGGCACTGTATGGCTGAGCTACATCCCTCGCACTGAATCAATTCTTGACCTAGTCTCACTGCGACTGGTCCTCATCACTCCATGAATGCTTTCCAACTAATTGATTGTCATAAGGTCCTAAAATATATGTTCAAATAATACACTGATGATAAAACATAATTTTCAGAACTGTAGTAATGAGATATAAAAACTTAGTTAAGGGGCTGAGGAGATAGCTCAGTAGAATAAGCACTTGCCTCACAAATGCAAGGGGCTGAGTTCAATCCCCGGTTCTGCAAAAAAAAATTAAAATAAAATAAAATAAAAATTTAGTTAAAACTTGAATTTTGCTTACCTTTCCTGGGTGACCCAGTTGATGACTAAATCAAGCCGTTTTTCAGACAGTCCACATTTGATTCCTTCCAAAGTCAGATGTGCATCAATAGGATTTCTAAAAGCACGACTTGTGCTAAATATGGCCTCAAAAAATAAGAGTAATGGAAGAGGTTTTCCTCTTATCTTGCCCAAAGCTACAAAAGAAAAGTTTTGAGTCAGGTACCTTAAGAGATAGTTTGCTTTTTCTAATTTCAGATTATTTTCATGCCTTTGTATTTTCTACAGCTTTAAGCTTATGTACAGATTAAAATTCATACCTTTGATAGTAACTAAATAGCATTATCCATGCCATGTGAAAGTGGAGGCAGAGAATAATCTGTCTACAAACTGAGAGATGCCAAAACTTGCTGATGGACACCGGAAACTAGGAGATCTCCCTGGGAGCCTCTGGGAGAAACCAAACCTGTTGACACTTTGATTTCAGACTTGTAGCTTCCAGAACCAAGAAAACTTAAATTTATTTTCTAAGTCACAGGACTGTCCTATTAGTAGTCCAAGTCCGCCATGATCAAAGAAAAACTATGACTTGAATAGAAAAACAAAAAATGCAGTTGCAAATACACTAAGGATCAAATTCCTCATGTGAACTATATTGCTCTATGACCAATCAAATTAAACAACTAAAAACTGAGGATTTTTTTTTGGGGGGAGGGGCTGGCTCAGGGTGCCTTAAGGGCGGGTCTGATGCAGCATGTAGAGCTGGGGATCGAACCGCTTTCCCCTGTGCCTGACTGAGTTTGCCCAAGCAGGTGCTGTAGACAACTGAGCTAACCTGCAAGCCCCCAAACAACTAAGAACTGGACACTGAGATCAACATATTTATTCAGACACATCCTGCGTGGACTATGTGCTGCTCTGAGTTACTCCATGTATAACTTTCAGGCTGTGCTTTGTCCCATTTAATAAAGCAGTTTGTTCCATTCTGAGCACAAATGCTGAGGAAGAATAACTTGGCAATGTGTCAGTGCAAATAGCTGGCCACCACATGCTGGACACATCAATCTTATTTAAAAACTCTAAAACAAGCAGAGTATGATGGTGCACACCTGTAATCCCAGCACCTGGAGGCTGAGGCAGGATGATCACCATGAGTTTGAGGTCAGTCTGAGTTACACAGTGAGTCCAGGCCAATCTGAACTACAGTGAGATCATCTCAAAAAAAAAAAAAAAAAAAAAAAAAAAAAAAAAAAAAAAAAATGTCTTCCACCTACAGAGCACAATCATAAGGGATAAACTAATGAAATTAACCAGGATAATAAAGACCACCACCTATAAACCCATCAAATTAAATCAGGGGAACATGGACACATGACATACTAAATTATACCAGAGAAAAATAAGCACATAAGCTAATAGGACATATAAAAATCATATAAAAAGGGAGCACCCAACAGTGGAGCATGGAGGTGACACAGGTTGACCTGTCATCTCATCAGACCACATGATGGATGCATCCTGCAATCAGCAGGTAACAAACTCCAGTTCTCCGTCCTCCAGTTTCAGCCTACCTTGATCTCAAGGACACAGTACAGTTTCTGCTGTCCAGACATGGGCTTCGAACCAACTCTGCAATTTCAGTAGCCCATACCTCAGACAAGCTCTGCCTGGCCTATAATTTTAATTTGCCACCTATGGTGACCTTTCAGATCCCTGGGCTCTCAGCCTTTGCTTTCAGTTCTGCCCCTTGGGATCCTGCAACTGCTGTTAACCTCGTCTTCGGTGTTCTGCAACCTGTGCATCATTGTGCACACTGTGATGTATAACCTGAGTGCCATGGATATCAGCAACAAGGATTACAGAAGAATTTATGGGGGCCCTGGATATAGCTCAGTGGCATAAGCGCCTGCCTGGCAAGCACAAGGTTCCGAGTTTGATTACTGGTACCAGAAAAAAAGAATTTGATTTCTAGGTGTGGAGGTACATACCTACAATCCCAGCACTCATGAGACTGATAAAGGAGGATCCAATGGGAGTTCAAGGTCAGCCTGTAATGCCGTCTCAAAAAACCAAGCAATCAATCAAACTAAGATTGACTGGCTCATTGGCTATAGAGTGAAATCTTGAATACTCAACCAGACAAGGCTGATAAAATTGATGTCATTTGTGAATATATTATTATTCAATAAAATCTGACATTATGGAAAGACACAAATGTATCTAATATATGTTAATGGCTAGGTCACTCATGACACACCCTAACTTTGAAAATAATTCAGTAAGAATCACAAACTAGGCAAACTAGGATATTGAAATTTATAGGTAGGCTTAGCCAAGGATCAAACAAGGTTTCTCTAGAATTAAAAATGTGTTATCATCATGCTGAATTTTTAGTCATGCTAATATGACTAAGCAGTGTGATTACAACTCATTTTAAATTTAAATTGTATATACAACCTATACTATGCAGTTCGGACTGGCCTTGAACTATGTAGCAAGGCTGGCCTTGAACTCACAGCGATCCTCCTAGCTCAACTTCCGGAGTGCTTGGATTATAGGCATGTGTTACCCATCACACCTGCCCTGAACTTTAATTCTATTTTTTTTTTTGAACTTAAATTCTTAACCCATCAGGTTCTTTTTCTCTTGTGAATCTAAAATATTCAATTTCCCAGATTTTTACTTAACTTCCTCTTCAGAGAAGACGTAACACCAATACTCCACAAGACTTGTGATGAAACCAAGAGGCAGTACTCCCAAAATCATTCCTGAAAGATAGCCTTACTACTCAGATTCCAAAATCAGACAAAGATCCAACCAAAAAGAATACAGTTGCCAAAATCCTCAACAAGAGACTGGCAAACAAAATGCAACCAATCATTCAAAAGAATGAAACTGAACTCCTACACCTTGTACCTGTTAAAAGTGGCTCAAGCTGAGAACTGGTCACAAGTGAGGGGGCAACGCAAGACCAGTGTGAGGATAAAGAGTATCTAAAACAATCAACCTGTTTCAATCCCGAGAAACAACTTGCCTGAGACAATTCCAGTCATACTAACTTTGTCAAATGTATAAGCAAATACTCTGCATTGAACAGGAGAAAGCAAACTGGAACTAAACAGGAAAGGAAGAACAGTGGGTGAGGGGGCACTTCTTATTGTGCAGGCAACAGGGGGCAGAAGTGCATTGGTAGTGCCAATATTCAGCACAGGTGTGTATCAGTATTGGCATTTCATCAGGTACAAAAAGTTGGAAGATGGAGGTTTACTAGAGCCAGAGAGATAAAACGAACTTAAGAGAAGCCATAAAGAAAAAATAGGCTTAGAAGAAGCCAAAGGGAAAAAGTGTAGGCACAGGACAGAGTCCCAAGAACCACAGATATATATATAGAAATGCTGCTATATTCTTGGTTCTTGTATCTACCTTACGTTCTAAGACCACTGAAGGATTGGCTTGGAATACTTTAAAATCAAGTCCCAAGCACAGGAATGGAGGGGAGGACAGCAATGGTCCCCCGGTCCCACTGATAAAACCCTCTAGCTTTGCTCAATCAAATAAGGAAGAAACTAAGGGAGACAAAAATGAAAATTCTTTTTTTGTTTTTGACCAGTAACTCAACTTTAATGCAATGCACATTGGATTGAAGTGTTGGGTTTTGAAGGAATACAAAAGGTAATGAAATATAATGAAAATATTTTTCTAGTCATTCAGGAGAATCAGGAGAAATGGTAATCAAAACAGATAACAATATCCTAAGTGTCTCACTGAGCTTGATAAAAATGTATTTCAAAACAAAAATAATTACATGATGAATACACTTTGCAAGCAATGATCACAAAGATAACTAAATTTCTAATTTCCTAGTAATCAAAATGGAATATACAGCAGGCCCACATAATCAGTGACTGTATTATAAAATATTTTATACAAATTTGAGGGGCTTGGGAGATGGCTCAATGGAATAAGCACTTCCCTGGCAAGCGCAAGGACCTGAGTTCAATCCCCAGTTCCACCAAAAAAAAAACAAAAACCTTACAAATTTGACTCTTAGTCAACATTATTCCACTATATCTAAATTTTTTGTTTGTGGTTTCTTTTTCTTCTTCATCTTCTTTTGAACGCATATAGCTCAGCGTTTTCCTTGTTCCTCTTACTGAAGGTACAAATCCATGTGGTTTTGCCAGTATTTTGGGTCACAGTGAAGAACAAATATTGGTACCCTCACAACTGTCCCTTTGGGAATGGTCACTCATTAACTCCAACACCTTTTTTACAGACCCTTGAGATTCTGTTCTCCTCTAGAACATCATACGTAGGAAGTGCCTTGTGGGCAAAGCTGCATTCATCTCCTGCTGCAACTTCTTCTGGATGTCCGGGTGAGTGGCCAATTCATACACAATTAAGAAAAGAGCATTCCTGGTGGTCTCATAACCAGCAAAAAGAAAAGAAATTGATAGAACTGTAATCTTGACATCAGAAAGAGCTGATGGAGAGCAGACTTTCAAGTAAAGTAGACCTTCCTAGTTTAGATGAGGAAAAATCTATCTGAAGTGCCCAAAAGCCCTGGGAGGAGCTTGGGAGGCCCAGCAAGTGGGCTTCACCCCAATGCCTGTCTTACAAACCAGAAACAGAATAATTTAAATTCACCTGTCTAATGGTAACTCTACTCGTGGCCATCTGCTTCCCAACTCCTTTTTTTTAAAAAAACAGAACAAAAAAAAAAAAAAAAAGGTTAAAAAAAAAAAAGCATTAGAAACAATACAGAATTTCACTAAAACAAGTAATACGAATTCAACAATGGTTGTTATATTGCATAATGTAGTCTTCAAATTAATATTGTCTAAATTAACAGATATAAGTATGCAATGTTGGTAAAAAAGAAAAAAAGTTGTAAGAAATTAAAAAGAAAAAATAAATTGGTATTAACTACTCCTTTCAATAGACCAGCAGAAATCAGCAGATCTAAGCTATGCTACACAGACACACAAATCTGTCTTTTTCCTTTTCTTTCCCCACGATTTTCCTTATCCCAGTTTTCTTCCCTTCCAACAGATTCACTGCCTTCCACAGTACCTACCGTACCCTGAAGGAAATTCTATTTACTCCTTCAGGTGCTTACGCTAGAGACGCGGTATGCTATCGGCACGTGCAGATCAGATTTCGCTTTTGACTATGGTCTCTATTTGCATCCATTTAC